GTATTTACCTCTTTCTAGATGTCAAAAGTTACGAAAAATTTATAATTCAAAAATAAAAATAATAGACCGATATTAGATGTTACTATGTATACATTTTCACATTTATATCAGAATTTTCAAGAACATAAAAGACTCAGTGGCAATAAAAGCTATTTCCAATTTGAACTGTTATATAATATAAGGTTATCATTGCATATTTTTAGTAAGTCAAGTTACTTGTCACTTATTACTCTTTATTGTGTCACAAATTCCTCAGTTTAAGCAGTTTTTTTCACGTGTAGTTTAATATTTTTCTAATCCAAGTAATCTTTCTAATTGCTGTAATAAACATACTATCCAACTGTCCTTATACAAAATTATAATAATTAAATATTTTATAACCAAATGATGTTTTAAAGGGGGGAAAATGCTGATTAATATGAAGTGACAACAATCCACGGAGGCTCGTGAAAGGGGTCAGCAAAGGTTGGAGCCTCCTAGTTAAGTATATAAAAATATTAATAATTAATAATAATGCATTTATTTCTTGCAATCCTTAAGAATCATGTAACTAAAGTAAAAAATTAATTTTGGCAGTAAATTTCCAAGTTCCTTTTAAATTAAGTACTAAATTTTAACAGTAGCACCAGATAGTTTTTTGTTGCAACAACTAATTAATTCTTTTTATGATAGATTTAAATTCCTAAACGAATATATGAAGCTTTTACGAATTTCATTTCTGAGAGAGCTAATAAATTTACGAAGCTTAAATTTTTTAACAGTTAATATAGTTTTCGCAGAAGATAATCCCTCGATACTATTTTCTATTAAATGTAAATATTAGCAAATTCTTAAACGAATATATAGAATATATTAACTGATAACTTCATTGCTGACTGGGCTGATAAATTTATGGATAGGGTAATAAATTATTCTGTAGATTAGTGGCAATGTTTTAAGAATACTTATGTCTTAAAATAACACTTTGTTAGTTGTGTTTAATGAGAAGGCGCCATTCCATTGCTTTTTGTTTGTCATTATTTCACTTAGATGCACAGGCAGATGAAATAAGACATGCGATGCGAACATACAGTTCTCTATAAATTAACTGATTTTATATATATATTACGTACTTTGAAAACATACATTGCATTTTATTATAGATGAACTGAAATAATGTTATTTTATTTTGAAAAAATTGAAGCTGTATTGTCTATTTCTGTATATATTAAAATACAGACATAGGCTGTACAATATTCCGTATCTAATTAATATTTAAAAAATTAACAAAAAGTTTTCTTATTCAGAAAGATTTTAATATACTTTCTAACTATTAAGTTTCGAATCTAGTAAAACGTTTTATATACATAAATTAAACTTTTCCACAAATTATACTTTTTATCTAACTATCTAAGTTGTTTTTGAAACAATAAAAAATCTATTAAGGTAATGTGCAAATGCTTTGAAAACAAATATTTAAAGAATAAGTTAATTAAAATTCAAACTGGCAACATTCGCAGTGTTTTCACGTTTTCTCGTGACTTTATTATGTCAACAACAAGTAAGTTACTTTCGCATGAAAGCAATCAATTTAGTCATGTTTTTCAACTTCCTCGTTTTCATTTTTACTTATGGTCCTTCATTTCTAAAAAAAAAAAAATTTCGTAACTTGAATCTTAAAGAAATAAATTGTGCATCAATTACTCTGCATTTAAAATAATTTTTGTATGAATTTACAACTTCTGAAGTTCGATTTTATTGGAGAGGCTACTGATTTTAAAGCTGTGAGCAGCAAAAAAAATAGCCCAAATAGTTTTTGATACAGTGATCAAATATTACCTGGTAATACTTGGGATTCAAAGTAAGATACTAGAAGAGGAAAAAAACACTGCTTTATTTGCTTTTGATACATTGATTAAATATTAAACGTTTGCGTTAAAGTTTCCAGTATGTCTCGAAAAGAAAAAAAAATGAAAGAGCACCTTGAATAATTTTTGATACAGTGATCGAATTTTAAATGGGCATGTTTGGAATTTGTAAAAAATACTAGAAGAAAGAGAAGAAGAAAAATCTGGCTTAAGAGTTTTTGATACCGTGATAAAATATTAAATAGTTATATGGTTATTATGTTCGGGATTTAAAAAAAATCACTGGAAAAAAAATTGCCTTAATAGTTTTTGATACAGTGATAAAATAATAAATAGTTGCATTAGGGATTTGAGAGAAAAACTATCTTTTTATAGGTAAAAAATTATCTAAATAAGAAATTATCTTTAAATTTTATTTTGGGCTAAGTAAGGCAGCAGTGAACATGTGTTAAAATGCATTAATCTTTATTATCTTTAATTTTCTCTGTTTCAAACCTTTACTCATAAAAAGTAGAAATTCATATGAAAAATTGAATGGTTAACTGGAGTTGACTTCAGTTGAAACTTTTCTAAGATTTCTTTAAAACTATTTTCATTTCTTTTAAATGCTACTAGAAAACTTTACTACTGATATTGAAGGAAATTCGAAACTTTTTAATTTTGACTCTGACACTTGTACTTTAAGATTTTAAGTTTTGATTTAATTATTTGCAAATAACAAATACACAAATTTTTAATTTTTCAGGCTTTGTATGATTTGCTTAAATTATTTATGTCATCTAAATCCACAATATTGAAATCATTTAAATTTTATTTAAAAAAATCAACGGTGTTAAAGTTTATTTTAAATTTTAACCCTTAATAATTTTTTTTTTACTGTTATTCATTTCGTATTAAATAGTTATTTTCCATTAAATTTCTCACTTTTGAAGTACATGGCCTTGAAAATGAAATACAAAAGCAATTTTTTTCTCGTGTGACTACGGAAAATTCCTTACTACATTCATCATAGTTTCTTTTTATCTAATTAAGGAAATTTCTTAACAACTGACATTTATGACTAACATTCATAAAGAACAAATAAAAAAACAAATGCAGTTATACTAGATGTAAAAATGCATTCATAGCTATAATGACATTGTGCGTGGAAGCATACTAGCATGACAGGTTGTTAACTTTTTCTTTGATATCATGCATTGTCATTTTATTTAGAAAATATAGACACACGCGATTCAACCACTAATTGAATTGAAAATTCATTATACGATAAAAAAATCATCTACGCAGGTATTAAAAGAAGAATTCGATTGTTTTACTATACAATATCAAACAGAATATATTATTTCTATTAATATTTTTCTGCTTGTATGAATGACTGCCATTTTTTTAATGAAACTATTTCGCAGTTGTTTCACTGTATTTTCTCATAAGTAATTCCAATATTTGTAAAAAAAATTTTTTAAATAATCCGAGTGCATCATTTCATTCTTATGAAACCCACAGCAAAAAAGGAATTTATTTCAAAAGGTTTTTTTTCCCCTCTTCGCTGGTGATTACTTTATTCAGGTAGTTGGTTTGAAGTGTGAGCAGCTTAGACGAAAAGCTTATCGAATTCTATTCCAATAAAATTCAGGAGCGTGATGAATCATATTATCATTTGAGCATGCTTAAACCTTAATATGAGGCTAAGTTGAACTAAATTACTCTTGTTTACAAGAAACTAAGTTATAACTTGAACGGAAATTTGCTCAATTCAGCTTAACCTTTAATAAGGTTGCTTCAAATTTTAACCACATTATGGTTTAAAGAGTCAATAATATTTTTTGCACCAAATTAAAGCTATATTTGTTGTTTTGATAAATAAAAGTTACATCAACATGAAATATTTTTTTAAAAAAATGCAAAAGAATTTTCATTATTTGATTCTTAATTTAAAATTTTATTTTTTTATCTGGCTAGGAATTGAATTGTTTTTGTTATCACCTAAGTTCTCAAATTATCGAGAGATTAATCGTATCATCATCATACTTTTTTTCTTTGCATAGGTAAGACAATGGTGTAAGAATGTAATGCTAAAATAATTAATAAGATTCTTATACTTTTTAATATAAGATTTTTTATAAGATTTTGATAATAAGATTTCTTTATTGCTGTAAATGAAATGTAACTACTCCATTTTTTTAGCATTGATATTTTCGAAAACAGTAACTGTATTCAGTACAGTAACTTTCTCTTTTGTACACACTATTTATAATTTTTTGGTCATTAAATATTAGTATAATAGCCAGTTTAATATTTTACTCCTTGTTCAGGATTAAAAATGTTATCATATAGTCATATAGTTAAACTTTAGCATATATAGCACATTTGTAGTTTCTTTTGTGTTATCTCTCGCTCTCTAGGTATATATANTCATAAATATATATATATATATACACACACAGAGTTCCTCTTCGTGTTGGAAACAAAGAATTTTATTGTTTTTATGTGATAATTGTCATTCAAACGGTCATTCCAAATTTTGAGTTTAAGACTTCCTATGTTCAACTCCGTAGCCTTGTAATTTTGAACGCAATCCAGAAGACAAGAGAACTTCTGAATCAAGTATTGGATGAAGTTTGCCTTCTTGGAGGACTTTTTGATAAACCTTTCCCGAATTTGCGTTGCGTGGAGGAGAAACCCCACGGTTAATTAGACCGCAAAAGGAGTCTAACCCATAATCTGTCTACCCCTGAGCATATTTCACGTCAAAACTGTAACCGATACGAACCATAAAATATCAAGCATGTGAGCCGTCATGAGCATGAAAGCGCGTGGATGATAAGAAATTTCTGAATGGAAATTCTCTTCTCGCATGGGCAACGAAAGGCTGAAACAAGCAGAGTTTTAAGTTGTTTCCCGAAAGAATACTTACTAAGTTTTTGGAATTATTTCAAAATAAGTTTCCTGCAATTGCATAATTAACTTTACTGTTGATTTTGAATTAGAGAATAACTCATTCGAATTATTTATTGAGTACATTAAGAATTATTTGAAATTAAAGAAAGGGAATGTATTATATCAGTATAAAATATTTGAGAATTATATTTTGTATTTATGGTAATCGTATTTAATGGTTTAACAATTATTAAAATTATTCACACAAATCAAACATAAAGACAAATTGTAACTATTTAATTGTAATTTCAAGTCAGAACAAATAAAAGCATTATAGAATATTGCAGCAATTTTGAACATGAGAATCAGAGTTGCTTAGATGAAAAATATAAAAAATGCTGTTACATATCAGTCAATACATGTTTAATTCATTAACAATAATTCATAGATTCATCAATTTTATAATTTTGAAAATATACATATAAACATAATATTGCATTTTTTTGACAAAAAAATTTAACGTATTCAAGTATGAAATAGTTTAAAATCACAAATAAAAACTTGAAAGGACAATCAATACAGCTATATTAACACTTAAAATAAATACATGATTTAAATCAAATTTAACAGAAATCTGTTATGAAATACTTCCTATTCTGAAAGAATTTTCATAACAAACGTAATTAAAGAACAATAGGTCGACAAATTATGTTACATTGTTAAACGAAGATTAATTAGAAAGTGAAAATGTTAAAATATAAGTGTCATTGTTACTGTTAAAAAATTGTCTTTGTTACTACATTTCCACGATTATTTGTTTTAGGAAAAACTTTTCGATATTTTTTTCATTTATAACTATTCGTTTTAGAATCAGACATTGTAGTATTTTTTCTCAGATAAGGGAAATACAATTTTACATCTTAAAAGGTTGATTGTTGGCGAAAATTCTTCTTTCAGACCAACTGCATAATCTAATTAACAGTTTACCAAAATATTTTTTTTCAATTAATTAGCATAGTATTTTATAATCATACAAATTTTATAACTCTTTTAATAAAAAATTTAATTATTCAAGAAATTATTTTAAAAAAATTTTAGAAATCATATGGATCCTACATGAAGTATTTGTGCTATAAGATTTGCATAAAAGGTAACGTTTTTTTCATAAATAATTAACAAATAAAACTCTGTCTTCATTTAAAATAAATTTGCAACAATAAGTCTCGGAATCACTAAAAACTGAATAAGGTGTCAAAATTTTAATGGTATTTTATCTAGAACTTGAAGTGTTCAAAAACTTTCCATAATTTCTCCTTAAGTAGAAGCACGTAATTAAATTCATTTTTCTCCTCATAATTTTTTTTCAAAAGTTATATAATTAATAATTTTTGAAATTTATGTAGTTAAAATTTGAAGCTGAAAGTCCTGCCTTGTCTCAAAAATACTAGTTGATGTTTTCAAAATAAGAAAAATAAACATTCTTATTTATTAAATTTCATTAACTAATTATTAAAATAATTAATATTAATCTGTTCCAGTTTCGCTGCTTAACTCAGTTATCCAATTTTAAATCTTTCACAAAGAAATAAGTAGAAATGCTCGCATATTAAAGGGGATAGAATGTTTTAATTTCATTCGTTGACATTATGGTCTACTCTTTTTATATAAATTGGGGCTTATCGCATTTTATGATTTTATAACAATTTCGTTTTCCTTACTTTGTTTTATCTTACTTGAAACTATGTTTATCATTTCAAGATGTTACTATATTCGGTACATAATAATATTAATAATTCTTACTTAAATACATAATAATAATTTTCTGTTTTGTATTATTAAGTTTCTTATTTAAAATTGATGCTTTTTATTTAGTATCCTATTTCATTTGCTATTATTTTATCGGTTTATCTGTACAGATCTACAACCACAAGCAGTGGGATACGTAACTAAACGAGGCTATTTAAGGCATGTAATATACGTATACTTTTAGAAGGCCACATGTTCTTAGCTTCATGAAGTAAATATTTAGATTTTGATGGGAAATGTATGGAAAAATTTATTAATCATCTCAACCTTTCCTATTTTCTAATTAAAAAATAATTGTTGATCTGCAATTAATTTATCATTTGGATAGATAATTAATGCAAAAATATTATTATTTTTGGAGAGGAAAGACTAATTTTTCTTTTAGTTTACAATTTTGAACATTACAACAGAAAAATCAGCTAAAATAGTGTCGATTGCAGATTAACTTGTAAGCGGGAGAACACAGTTAATTCAAAATCTCTAAACCCTAGAAATAGAAGGGAAGTAAAAAAAAAAAAGTCCTTTTTTGAAATATAAAGTATGGCTATAAACTTTCATGTTTTAGTTACATTTTGATTTTGTAATATGAAACTATTTTTTCTTATATTTAAATTAGGAATGAAATGTTATTTATTATTTGGAAAAGTATAAAGTAGCAATGATATATCATTATATCTTACTAAGTTTTTATTTTGTGTTTTCATAAATGAAATTTTTTCATGATCTAAAATTAAAAAAGAGTAGTATGTGCGTTAAAATAATCTATTCGTTTGATGGTTGTTTGTTCCTAATTAACAGTGAATATAAATGTTTATTACAGACTTGATTCGTGATCTACACCTAAATTAAGAGAAGTATAGAGGTTTTTGGTGAACACTATACACATAGAAAAGTACACTGACAAAAACATTGAAGGACAATTACAATAGATAAATACGTATATTTAAGCAACTGATGCTTCAGTTGGCGTAATTTACATTTTTTTTTTAAAAACATGTCTTATCAAAACAAGGTAGCATCTTTAAAAGAACATTTATTTTCAAGGAAAAATAGATTTTTAGGAATATGTAAACATAATTAAAAATAATTGAAATATAAATACCAACACAGCACATTTTAATTAATGTTAACGTCTCAAAAACATAATATATTTTTATGTTGTTCTGGACATATATCTTTAAATCATAGAAATGTAACACTTTGAAGAATATGGAATACTTCTTATGGATATTTTATTTGAAATATTTCATCTGGTTGGAAATTGTTATTTATTATGGTTGCTCATACCTGATTCAAAAATAATCAGAACGAAATTCTTCTAAAAAACATTGAGGACTGGGCCAAAATGTTATTTATGATATGGAAGTAATAAAAAAATTTCGATTCTTAGAGACATTAATGTTAGGAACGTATCAAAAATTTTAAGCATTAAGCATCTAAAATAATGTTGTGCTATGTGGATAAAATTTGACGGCTTAATGCGATTTTTAATTGTTGAATGAATGCATTTGTGAAATTTTTTTCTAACATTCATGTAATTAAAACTGCGCACAATAATTCAATAGTTGCATAGTTGTAGAGCATGTGTACAATAATTGAATAGTTATATAAGAGTCTTAAATATTACTAAAATTTCCTCCAATCAATATGTTTTGAAGTAATTCCTAAAAATCTTTCCCAAAAAGTTCTGAAATTAAATATCCCAAAAATCTTTTTTTTCTTGAAGAATCGAGAAAATAACTCTTGTTTTGATAACGCAAGTTTTTATATTACATATAAATATTATTCTTATTGCCACCGGACACAAATAGAAAAATTTTTTTAATAAAAAAATTTATTCGTAATTATATAATGATATTCAGAAAAATCTCAATCATTCCTTCACTATTTTTCAAAATGATCGAGAGGGCTGAAAATATTCAATAAAATAACAGAGATATTCCTTATTAGAATTTAAGGGCTTATCTTTGACAAGCATTTTATTAATACAACAAATAATCACGACGTCATTGCTAAGTAAGAATTAGAAAACATGTTGTATGTTTGTATTGCTTATATATATATCAATATTGAATTTAACCCTTTTATGTTATAACAGTACTTAAAAGTTCATATTACTAGAAATTTTAAAGCCACGTTGAACATAATATCGACACTAAATTTTTTAATGTTGAACTGATGTTTCCATAAAAAAGAAAAAGAAAAAAAAAGCTGCCAGCGAAAAAGGAGCACTTAAACAATTTTATGAATATCATGTCAGATTAATATTAATGTCATTGAGCTCAAATTTTATATAATTAAATATTAATCGACTTCAAAACTTAATTTATACGCAATTATTAGTCGAAATGATCATGGAAAGGAACATTTTGTTCTTCATAATAATATAAAACAAAATTATTAGGACTCTTAAGTATCACTAAATTTTTTTCAAAATTCCAATAATTATATTTAATCGCGATAAAAAAATATAAAAATAATATCTATAATAGTAGTGTTGTTAAGAAATGTTTTAAAATGAAACGCCTCATAGTTTTTCTTAATATTTTTAACTATTCACAAGATTTACCCCCTCAGTGGCTATTTCAAATTAGTACATTATGTATAATAACATTATTAAATATATTATATAAATTGTGTTACATAAAACTAAAAAAATTAATATAAAATTAATAATTTTCGCAAACTTCACATTAAACGTTACATATAAATTAATTTTCAAAAATTATTTAATTACATTTGAAAATAAGTATTTAATTACATTAAATCCGTATTCAATTACCTGATTTAAATCAGCCGTTAAATTCTTATATTTATTAAAGTAGTCTTATTTTTCCTACTGATTTTCTTCCAAGGATCTTGTTTTCGTTAATCTTACTTTCGTGNTTTTTTTTTTTTTTTTTTTTTTTTTTTTTTTTTTTTTTTTTTTTTAAACTTTGTAAAAGTATTTCTTATTATTGATATTTCTTACATACGATAGTACGGCTCCACTTTAATAAAATAGGGTTCAACTTAACATCTTATAAAAGCAGCAATTTTGTACGATATTATGGTTCAACGTGCATTGCAACGCAATCTTTGTTCAGCATTCAAATTGTATCATAGACATTACACTTCTAAAATGAATTTATGTTTAAAAATGTTTGATTTTTGATAAAAAAAATAAAAGTTAAAAATGCATAATTTTTATTCATTTATTAATTTTTAAAAGATATAAATTAATTATGTGATTGATTAAATTTTATAAGTAAATTTATATTTATAAAATAGTAATTTATTTAAAGAAATTAATGACTCGACTTTCAATGACACGAGCATTCATACAAAAGAAAATATTATAAAAAATATTCTATATACAAAAGAAAATTATGAAATTATGGAAAATATTATACAAATTTATAAGACCTTCATATATGTGATCAATGTTTAACATGTTTTTGAAAGAATTTAATGCTCATTTTCTACACTTTAAGACCTTAAAACATAAAGAATTAAATAAGTTATAATACCAATATTTTTAACAGAATTAGTTTTGAAAATATTTTTTTTAATAACTTTCAAATGATTTTTAAAGATGTTACAAACAACTTTATATTTCTGTAAATAACTAATATTAAATTATCTAAACGACAAATATTATCTTATCACCAAATACAACAAATATAATGCTTTATAACTGAAATAATTCTAAGCGTTTGCTTCCATTTTAGTTTAAAAATAGTAACAAGAATGCGTAATATTTAAAAAAAAATCACAGGGTTTTAAATTTGCCCAAAATTATAGTTAAAAGCAACAATTTTTAATATAAAAAGATTATCACAAAAAATACCAACTATGATTCACGGCAATAAACAAACATTTCAACAGTCATATATAAACAGAAATAAAGCCTAAATACAAGGAAATAAATGTTTACCTTCATTAAAGGTTTATAAAAATTGCAGACAGAAACACTTGCTCGTAAGGAAATGAATTTGAATATATTCTTGTTTTTATTTTCAAATTAAAGTTTTTTTTTTTGTAAGTTTACATTTTAAATATTGCGTATTATGGCAAGAATTAGACATTTGTGTGAATGAGTTCAAATATATACCTGTTTTTATATTTATTATCAGTTATTTTTTTAACATATTTACATTTTAAATATTTCGCATTATGGAAAAATAAGACATTTAAGTGAATGAGAATGTGAATATATTGTTTTTATTTTCAAATAAAAGTTATTTGTTCACATTTTAATAATTTAAAATTTAAATATTGAAACATTAACATAACTTTACATAAGCATGTAAACATTGAAAGTTTTAATAATTGTTTTTTACACATTTAATTAAAAGTTATTCATTTTTTAATTTTTCTTGTTTAAATATTTTTGCACTTTTAATATTGATCTTTATGGTAGAAAGAGGATTTTTTTGTGAATAAGATTTGTATGCGATATGCAATAGAGCTGGATAATTTAGCAACATATCGAAAAGGAGGTTTTCCAAACGGTAACAATAAATCGTGAATACCATTTCAAGCAACGATAGTTATCAACAAGGATGATAGCACGATCATTATCACAGTAATAAATAATGAATAGAATTATATATTGAGTGCAGATAAAAATTATCAAATCCAGTGATATTGTTGATAAATTTAATTTCGTTAAAAAATATTGGCCAAATTACAATTTACTTAAATTAATTAAATTAGAAAATATCATGATTTATTGTTGAGCATTCATACTTCCATGTGATATACCACAATATTGAGATTGTAATATAATCCAGTGACAGGGCATTAAATTTCCAATCATTTGTGTGTATTAAAACTGTGTATTACTGATTGTATATTAATGTCCTTACGATGTACATCTTCCGTTTCACACATTCCGCCACAATATTAACTATTTTACTATTATATTGTTATCATATGTAATCGAACAAAAACGAAATTTTGAGCAATGCTTTTATAAAATTTGAAATTCATATTTGCTGTTTTATTGTAAAGCACTTAAGACGCTTATTCATAATACCTCCATTATGAAAAAAATATCAGGATGTTTTGAGCAAGTTGATTAATAAAATAGCTAATTAAAATTCTTAATATTTTTCCTTACATTTATATTCTGATCAAGTTTATTCATTTTATCTTTTATATGTGTTACTTATTTCATTCATAATATTTCCATTTTATTTTTTCTTCCTTAAACTGCCAAACATAGCGTCGGCCTTAACACATTAATGACTAAAAGATGTTTAAAGTTAAGTGCCTAATTTAGATTTAAAAAGGAGAAATCAATTTAGGTGTAAGTATAAAGCAAGTTTAGGATTAAAAATAAATTACTATATGATGTTAAAGTGCAAATGTAAATTGTTGTATTAAATTTAAATAAAAAGGGCAAGATAAGATTTCTAAAAATTGGCCTAGTTAATTCAATAATTAATTAACATTTCAATGAACTTGAGATGTAAATAATTATAATAAAATCATAGAATATATGCTCATTTCATTTCCTTATTTCATCATTAAAACTACATAACTTTTTTTTCAACTTACAGTACGAATATTGTTGAATATATAATACATCAAAAACTATGTTCTGAAAATACTGTGAATAATCGAGTCCAAACACGTACAAATCACATTCTTTTCTTCCTTTTCTGGAACTTAAAGCATCGAACTGGATGAGAAAAACCAATAAAACAACAATTTAACAATGGAAATAGTTCCAAACTTAAGTACTAAATCAAATTATTGTTCGTAGGCTACATAACAACAAAACATGACACAACACCTTAAGAATTGCGGTATGCTTATAAATAATAAGCATACCACAAAATAACAATTAAGAAAACTAATCACAAACAAAACTGATGCTGTAAGATTTGTGGTGTGAAATGTAGGGTGTTTACAACATTTTGATGGGGGGTGTCATACGTTTTTTTGTTTTCCTGAGAGACTAGTTCATTGCACCAGGAGTGAGCAGACGTACTCAATGAAAAAGCATACTGATTCTCCTCTTTAAACACACGGCATGCCATTTTATTAGTTCAGAATGCGAAAAAGAATTTAATAAATTAAAATGTTTACGAAAATCTCTCAAAAATTAAATGACAATACTTACACAAAGAAAGAACATCAAAGTTTGTAAGATGCGTGTGGAATATGAACAAACTGCAAACACACTCATCTGTTCTTTCTCGAAGACTCTTGGCTAATACTTTGCGGCAACAGTTCGTTTAAGTAGTTCTTACGTATCGGGTATGCAATGCAAGTACGTATATTTAGTACGATCACCGATAATAATCACACGTATATCATTAATGTCATTGTTAAGATTGTGTTAATACGTATATGCAACTCCAAAATATGGAACGTATCTATGGCATAAAGATGGTGTTTTTGTTCACCATACCAGTTACTTAATTACGGTTGTACCTGTTATTTAATTATGGTTTCGGATTTCTGATTTTGTCCTCTAATATGAGAGATGTGGGAGAAGTGATGATGGAAGGTGGGTGTTCAGATGAGGACTTCCTGTCCTCCCTCTTGGCTTGGTGGTCTACTCCATTCTTGTCTTTGTCCTCCTCTTTGACTTTGGAGGATTCCATACGAGCTTGTTCGTTGATTTCTTTGACGGCTCTCATCTCTTTCTTGAGCTTCATGCGTCGATTTTGGAACCATATCTTTATTTGTCGCTCGGTGAGGCACAGGGCGTGAGCAATTTCTATACGCCGTCGGCGTGTTAAGTAGTGGTTGAAGTGAAATTCCTTCTCAAGTTCCAGCGTCTGGAATCGGGTGTAGGTTTGTCTTCCTCGCCGGCGAGGACAGCCATTCGGTCCTGCAAAGTTCAGGGCTACCATAAGAAACAACAATCAATTACACATTACTCTCCTTTGTTTAAAGCACATCAAGCACTGATAACTCAAACAAAAATGAGGTTACAAACAAATTATTATTAGAAAAGTCAACAAGATAAAATGGGAATTTTTTTATTCAGTTAATACCCTATTTTTTATAAACTTAAATGCAAAGTCTTCTTATTACTTTTGTTTTAGAAATTATTTTTCAATTCGGGCAATTTTGAATGCGTCCATTGCGCTTGATCTATCCGTAGAATCTGCTTATCATCAACCATTTGCTTGGTCAATTTACAGTTGCTTTCATCATAAACAAATATGAAAACGTTCTACTTTAATTACTATTTTTAAGGAAAACAAAGATGTATTTATTAAGTGTATACTTTTTTGTGCATATAATCGTAAAAATAGTTAAAAACCTCATTTCTTATACAGTATCAGTGCAAGAGTGCAATTTATGCAGCTATAACAATGTACATGAAAAGTTTATAATAGTTAGAAAATAAATACAAATATAAAATTTGGGAATAATAATAATCATATAAATAGGATAACCATGCATCAAAAGCATTGGAATTAAATTTTCGTGACTCAAAAAATAAACATTAGTACAAAAATAAATGCATTCAAATTTATATAAACGATTACGTTGTATGAATATTGTTTGGAAAAAAATCATATTTGAAATTCACTTAGGAAATTACAGATCTATAGTATGGATTAAATAATGTCTATTTATTGACTAAAAATCAGATTTGATATTACAAGCTGCAGATTTTAATGACTCCATTAAGTTTACTTAAATTAAAAATATTTACTTAAATTACAAATATACTTTATTTTATTTGTCGCAATATTTAGTAGAGATGTTCTGATGAAAATGCATTTAAGACGATGTTGGTTAATGCAAAACATTCGTTTAAACATTTTTTTCATAAGATTGTACCCTTTTTCATATCATTTAAAAATAAAATAGTATAAATAAACGAAGACTTAACCATACTGGTATTTGAGAAACTCCAAAAGTATGATCTGCAATATGATTAATTCCTTTCATATTTCTATGCATGAAATGTTGACACAGGAAATTTTCGACAAAAAGAAAATTTTTGCATTTATAAAGTTTTGCATGTAAAAGATAAAGAATGTATTATTAATAGTTGTTGACATTTTCTTGTATTTTTGTTGTCATACAGGTTCATTATTAGCAATATATTGTTTATAATTTTCCACGCAGGAAAATAAAACTCTTTCTCCCTAAAAAATTTTATAACCAACTATACTTTGCTTTCATACTGAACTCAAGTATTACAAACAATTGAGCAACAAAATATTTTAGAATTTAAAACGGTACTGGTAATAAACTGTATTAGTGTAATAACACATATAGCAAACAGCTATTTATGCGCATGGAAATTTAAAATCTTCTGTTGCATGACTTTGAATTTTAGATTACATGTCTTTCAGATATTTAATTCTTATGATATTTATGTTTGATCAATTAATTACAATGCCATGCTTTCGAAATTTAAGGGATTATTTTTCAGTATGCCGAGATTAAATAATTAAAAAAATTCTAGATTAAATAATTGAATATGTTAACTTAAACTTAATTTACCGTTAATTTATGCTTAGGTGATTGGTTCGTTGGTAACATTAAAACACAAAGTAGTTCACGTTATATATTGATTTCGTGTACACGGATTAGAAGATTTTAGATGCTCCGGCTCTATCTCCTCTCCCAAATAATATGATAAGCTCCAGCTCCGCCTCCACTAAGGCTCCAACTCCGACAATTTTAACATGTATTTATGTGTGATTTTGAGTTTAGTTTTAATTTCAATTTTTTATAATAAAGGAAACATTTAAAAAAAATCATATAAAATATAATAATACATTTTCGTCAATTTACACAAGATGCAAAGTTAAAAATTTAAAACCTATTAAAATTTAATTTAATTTAAGATTGAGTTTTTCGTTAATTTTTAAGAAAAAAATTTTAGAATAAATCTTTCTTATATTTGATGTAAAATCATTACAAATGTATTATATTCCTCCGACAGAAACTTGACTAATGGGCAATGGGTATTGGTTAATGGGTCAAACTGAAATCAACATAAAGGAGTTCAACCGACTGATTTGAAATCAGAAACCCTCATTAATATCTTGCAATGTCGATCGAAATAATTTAGATGATATGCCTGAAAGTAAACAAGTGCTCCTAATGAGTTTTTCCTATAGTTAATGAAAATGAGGCAGTAAAAATATTGCATTTAGTTCTTGTTCATAAAGTATGCGCAGGTGAAAAGGTTTCCAATGAAAATTCCGACTAAGTCGCGTGAGTTTCTAAACCTGATTCACGAGTTCGGGACATTTCTTATCTTCTACGGAAGTTTTTCTCTAAATGCCCCAACAAGAAGAACCCATTGTTAAACTCACCTTCTGGTCTTATGTAAAAACCAGTTTACAGTCGACTTATTTAAAATATATTGATCGTAAACCACGCTAAAACAGTTCGCAATATTTATGTAAGCTATAAAGATACGAACGTAGTTAAGTGTTGTGTTCTGTCATTTTAAAAATCATTTTAGTTTGCATTAGTATTTGTTATCGCTTGTTCATATGATTATGAGTCCCTTAATAGCTCTTTTTTTCTCTCTTTTTTTAAGTTAATCAAACGATTAAAACATTTTAAATTATTTTAATTGAGAAATTTTTGGATTGTATTATTTATGTATCAATTTATTTTTCATGGCGTTATTTAAATTCAAGTATTTAGTACTTTATTTTTTGTAATCGCTTTCGACTGATTATAATGGCTTATCTAATACATATACCTTATTCATGTAAAAAAAAAAATTAAAAAAAAAAGTTTTTTAATCATTACTTTTTATTGCATGATTTGAATTTAAGTGTTCTCCAAATCCTAAAACAATTCTGCTAGAGTTTGTTCGCTTAAAAGAGCATTTAAATAAATATAATAATTTCTTAAATGACTTAAATTGTTCACAGCTAGCTGTTCCAGCTGCAAAAGGAATTTTTTACTGCTGGTAAACTCGCAAGTATATTACATATTTGCGCATCGCAAATATATATAAAAAATATCTGTGCGATATATATATAATTTTCAAATATATTAGATAAACATATCGCAAATAAATTTTTTTATATGTGTGCTTAAGCTATAAGCTAACAGTGTTTCTCTATACCAGAACATTATGTGAACAAAGTCTTTAAAATATATTATTAAAAATAACTTGAGACAGATTATTCTGCATCAAATAATTCATTGTCATGATTTTTTTTTGTCCAAAGGATAAACGTATAATTAAAAATTTTCAGGGATTTGCAAAAATCAACTTAAACTTAATCTTAAATAGAAATACATATAGTTAACCTATACCTATAGTAAGTTAAGGAAACAGTGAGGTCTACAAAGCATGCATTCTTAATGTTCATTCAGTAGTTTAATACGTTTTAGGAATTTTATTAAAAATAAACATAGAATAGAAGCAACGCTTTAATGAAATAATTATTAAGCTTTCTTAATTTTAATTCGTACTTTTCTTAGACATTCTAAGAAACAAAAAATGCATTTAATCTTAGCTGGTCAAACACATTTATGCATGTCAAAAAAGTTTGCATGGCAAATTATTCACTATTTTTATGAAATATACTAAGATTAAAGTTAAGATTTACACACCTTAAAACTATTTTTTTTTCGATCAAAAAACTAACTTTTTGTCCATTAACTCTTGCAATTTTTTAAACTTATCTTCGTAACTAATATTTTCCAGATATTCCAGTTGCAGATTGCAGTTACCATCCAATATTTTCTGAAAATCGAAAATCCGAAAAAAATGCATTAACTCAGCGAAAGAAGTAAGTTTTTGTGTCTAGATTTCTGATTGAAATTAGATTTTGCACTAATTAACTAGTATACTTGATATAGGGATTTCACCTTAATATGTAAAATTGCGGACAATAAATCGAAAGTTATTCAAAATAAAACCATTTTTGTTTTATGTTAAGACCAAGAATAAGAATAAATATTAAACAACATAAAAATAAATTTTGTCATATTTCAAACAGAGATTAACAATAATTAAATCAGAAAACATAGTCAACCAATATTTTTACACTGTGAACGTCTTATCTTAGAAATGAAAACAAAAATAACATATTTGTTATCAATCGATTTTTTTTAAGTTATGTTTTTTTGAAACACCAAAATCTCATAATGAGTTTTAACTTTAGTTCTGCCTCCCTCTCTAGAAGTCGCCTGAATTGTCTAAAATGGTGGAGTGAAAACCTTTTACCGTTGTCCTAAATGCCAGTTTCATCTGGCTACTCCCAAATATACCTTGGACTATGTTGGACTCAGCAGAGAGGAAATCTATAGTTTGTCTAAGGTAAGAACTCCACCCGCCACTAAGTCTGTGGCCGTATGCTGCTGTGGAAACAAGAATAGCGCTTTTCAGGGAGGGTAGCTTCTCTTCACTTTGGGTCTAACACAGTAGACCGAAGAAAAGATTCCCTTTCTTTCACCGAACCGAGCCAAAACCTGTCCAAAACAATGACCCCACAACCCTACTTGAAATAATTATACCTCGTTACCATAATCACCGCCATGAGTCCAGACGAATGGCTAGGGGAGTTCTGACTTTAGACAAACTATATTCTTCCTCTCTGTTTGTCATCGACATGCGGTTTATTTAACTGTGGTAGTCAACGGTTTATTTAACTGCGTCAGACCAGTTGGGAGATTAAAAAAAGAAAACCCTTGCTCTTGAAAAAAATATTTTATTGAAAAATCGTTTTAAGGGATGAAGTTCATGGTGTCATATAATAGTTTCAAGAAAATTTCATCAGTATTTAAATCATCCCTGATTGAATCTGAGCATAGATTTTGTCAATCTTTTTAAACTATGGACATTAGAGCATTAAAAAAAGGTAAAAAAGTATGCGAACTTTAAAAACTGATTTCCCCATATTTCATTGAATAAATTAAATTTCCACTATTGCCTTATTTCAAAATACTTTCAACTGAAATTTTTCAAAAATTTGCAAAAAATGAATACAAATTCGATCAAATGTCTGACAGCCATAAAATAAATGTAGCGGTCTATTAAAACTATACGGATGACCAATATTTGAACAACAATTCATTTTTGAGCATTAATGATTGACCTAAAAACAATAATAATGAATCTACCAATTAATCAAAGGATTCAATAAATCGAACAATTATGTAGTCTTTGTTATTTTACAATACTAGTTCCTTGTTAATACGACACGCAAATGGCATAGAACAAGCTAGAAAAAAAAATTTCCAGTAAATCAAAAGGGTTATAATTAAGTACCCCGAGGCAATGTATAAACAATACAAAATGCGCATACCGCCAAGAATTACTGGAAATCGCCAAGTCGTGATGTTGTATGCGTAGAAGCTATGAATAAATAATCGAAATGCGTGTCTTATTTTCATATGAAATGAGGCTTCGTACACGATTTCTTATTAGGCCGGAAGTGAGGAAAGACGCCAAAAATTTCATTTTCGAATAATTTTTTTCCTCCTTTTTATCCAATCACGTTGATTTTGTTTTTTGTTTTTGATGATCATGTTTTCTAAAGTGATAAATTCAAGTTTAGTAAAGTACTTATCTTTGTTTCTTTTTTTTTTCTCATAAAGTAAAGAACGTGAAAATGATTTTAACCAGATTTGGAGAAGCAATAAATTTGAGTTTGCTCTGAGATTATCCTTTTGAAACTTGTTATTATTCATTTATTTAAGAGAAAGTGTTAGAGAATTTTTTAAAAAGGAATGCATTCTTATTTCTCTTGAATTATTTATTTTTCGACATAAATCTATTAATGTAATTTTTTTTTGTTTTTGTAATCTATACTTTAAATCCGAATTCATCAGAAAAAATACTTAAAATACTATTAATTACACTATTAGTTTTTTACGTATACCAAGGTTAAATAGATTTACGAAAATTCCAGTCCAAAAGAATTGGTTTTATTTAAATACTTTTGGTTTCTTCACCAAAATTTCATTCTTTTTTACATTGAATGCTAATTAAATAGTATAACTTTTTGTTTTTTAGGATCTGTAAAAATCAATATACATTTAAAAATATAAGTATACACTAAAAAAGTATAATATGCCAAATAGACCGAAAACAAATTGCATGGATAGAAATTTAGAAAATTTAGACACTGGTTCAAAAGTAGAGTAATGAAAGCATGTTACAAATCTGCACACATTTTCGATTAGATTTTTTTAAGTTAATAATGCAGATTTGAACTACGATATAAAGAATGTACAATGGTCATAATTATTATAAAAAGTGACTAACAAAAAAACCAAAGATTAAAATAATAATAATAATAAATAAATAAATAAACTTGTCTTGGGATCTCTGGTAATTTATTTAATAGTGGTCCAAGTCAAATTTTAGTAGTATTTTAACAAATTCTTTCTATGAGATATTCTATCCCACGACATTTTGTTCATGTCAAATCCTGCCCAACAATATTTTTACCAAGCTATATTCTATATGTTTACCAAGCTATATTCTATGTTTGTTTTCAGGAAAACTCTAACCATGCATTTATTGATCACATAAGATTTTAATGTTTTTATTGCATATTCTACATTCTATCTTTCCTTCTTTTTTTTTTATTTATCTAAACACTAAATTTATCGATATTTATAGTATTTTTATCATTGATGAACCCTTTTTTGCTCTAATAAAATATACCAGACCATTTTATCTATGATTAGCATGGAATTACATAATATTAGTGCTTTATTCAATTCCACAGACAATCAGGTGTTCACTATATTTTAAAAACCCTGGGAAATGTTCATATTCTGGTCTTGCTCATTAATTGAAGACGAAAAAAAAGTAAACGAAAAAAAAAGCTTGTACATAATAGTATAAGCACATAATGGTGTTATAGTTAACGCTATATTTAGTCCTATTGCTAGAAGCAATATTTATAAAATGAATAAACCAAATAAGTGAATAGCTTACTGCATTTCGCAGCGTTTATGAAGACAATATGAGAAAAAGGCGTTCTCCAAGAATTATTTAATAGCATAATTGTTACATTGTTTTCAGTATTTTTTAAGGACTCTGACAACGTTCATTTAAACCAATAGGCATAATGCTGTCATAAGTTAACAATATATTTAGTGCTATTACTGATTATAATGCTTATAAAAGGAATAAGCAGAGTAATTAATTAGCCTTCTACATTTTCCAGAATTCATCAGAATTTCGTGAGAAAAAAACATACTCTTTAAAAACCGTAGATGATATAAATTCTAAATTTTTTTATATATTTGTTCAAGCACGTTACAAAAGCAAAACATTCATAGTTTTGTTTATAATATACACACGAAGTGAACTATAATTTTTTTCACGTATTTCAAAGATCTATGAGATATTTTTTTTATTACTAAGAGAATTTTTACGTGTTTACATAATATAATTTTAGTCAGTTATTTATTATAGCTTATTATTTTATACATATTTTTCTAAATAGGTAGACGACAAATGTGTATCCCCTTCTTGCAGGACAATTAAATTGAAAGAAGGAAAATACTTCAAAATATGGAAGATTGTACAACAGTTTCAAATTTGCGTCAAGCATCTAAAATACTCTTAAAGGTTAGAACCAATTTATTTGTTTTGTATATTGTTAGACACTAATTGTTTCATATATTATGTAGTTCATTATTAATAATATTAACAATACACTCTTAATAAATCAGTTCAATATAAAACTGCAATATTGTCCTAAATTGCTTCAAACTTTATAAGGTTTTTACTTAAATCATGTTTTCATTTAACTTGAACCATAATATCGTGTAATTAAATTTAAGAGATATAATAATATGGTTAGCACCATATTAGCTTGTTTAACGTGCTTCAAGCGTTCATAACGTGTATCGCGCTTAACGTGCTTTAACTTTTATTGTAGGACATATTATTTTCTATAAAAGTTAAATATTTCAAAATGTATATTTTTAAATCATAATTGCCATAATTAAATTCTAAATAACTTTATGAGCAAATTGTCTTTCTTTAACATAAAAGCTCTTTTATTCGAGTTAGAAAAAAGAAAAAAAAAATCCTTGATGTAACTTTTTTTCTGATACCCTACATATTAGCATTAGTTATTTTGACCCTGAAAGATCAGAGTAAAACTTATGGTCCACTTATCCCTGTTTTTGTTTGAGAGGTACAAAAATATAGGATAAATGGTTTGACCTGTCACCTTGATTGTACAGAAACCGATGCCGACATCAGAACTCCCCCCTCCCTTCTCCATATTTTCCTTCTAAGGAAACAAGTTCTAGAAGCTTTGAATAAAAGAAAAAAATGTATAAATGAGATGAGCTAAAAAAGAAAAGATAGAATAAAATAAAACTCCATTTCAAACGTTTTTCTCAGATATGCAACGACTTGCGTGACTATTTTATCAGTCAAACTCCAAAACGAGTTCCTTTTCGCCGTGGAATAAAAAAAAATTGAAGACAGACCATCCAAGCCCATCGAGGAACGTGAAAAAAGAACGTAAGGTCCCCGTTACGGCTGAAAAATACCCGTTACATCGACGATGAGATCGTTCCAAACAATTGCCAGGAGTCGCCTAAATCGACTCAAAGGGGTCATTTCGGGAGAACGTTTAAGGCTGGTGCGATGGACTTGGGTATTTCGCGTTTGATGGCACTATAACAGCATTTAATGGCTAAAACGTGTTCACCCGTGGCAAAGTCAGGTAAGCGGTTACCAATGACATTA